CTATCTATCTATCTATCTATCTATCTATCTATCTATCTATCTATCTATCTATCTATCTATCTATCTATCTATCTATCTATCTATCTATCTATTCAGTTATATACCAAAATAACAGTAGTGACAAGATTAAAAAGACAAATAATAATAGTGTAACCGAATAAAACATTTAGGTATATTAACTGACATGTGAAAGTTTGACACAGTGTCTTATTAAAGGGAAGTTTTCCAGAGATGGCTAGCAGAACGACTGTAAGTTACTGTCATGGAGTGAAAGTTTGAAAATGGTAACATAAGCTGATTTCTGTCACCCGGAGACACAGATCGCAGATACAGCGCTATCACATGAGATGGATTTTCAACACTTTTTTTCTTTCCGTAAACGCAGACTTATAATGTGTTATCACCTGTCATCGTTGACAGGCTGTTGGGCCTGATTATCTCTTTCTAAAATGACATGCAGCGGCAGTGTTTGTGGAGACCTCCGGGAGAATGTCACGCCTGCACGGGAATTACAAAGGGCAACATGCAACACTTTATACAAAACACACTGAACTTGTTTGGGTATTATTTTATGTCAACTTGAATTAACGCCTGTGTCAAATGTTTGCACATATATGTGCTAAACAGGGCTCTGTACACTGTGCACACTGTAGTTTGGTGGAATACGTCTTTATTGTTGAGGTGCTGAATACTTTTCTGTGTACTGCTGTCATACTGACTTGACACCTAATTTAACGATGACATAAAACCTGACAGTCATAAACTTAACTTCACTTTTATTTATTATATATTCCTCTTCTTCCTTTGCCTCTGACATTTGTGATATTTTCACCTGAACATCCTGAGAAGGAATAAAGGCTACAGTTCAGGAAGAGAAGTTCAGACTGATTTATCATAGTGAACTGGAATCCAGTTTAAAGGGGGTGGGGGTGGGGGTTGATTAGCAAATGTTCCCAGAAAACCTCACCACTTCAACAGGATGACATCCTCACAGGAGAAGCTGGACCTGCTGGGTCCATAATCTCCACGTGACATAAAGCGGTGTGAACGCAGGAGATGAAATTGAAATGAGCACCTCAAATTCCTCAGGAAAACTCTAATAAGAAACACCCCAGGGAAGTTAGATAGTGGGGGCTGGTGTCTGC